CTTTTAAGGGTATCGTAACACTAAATTATTATCCAAATTACCGAAAATGAGGTTTTTCTGGCATCTAATTATTCAATAACGCATCTATCTTTGTGCTGATTTTAATAAAATATAAAACCCCTCGAAAATATAAAATGTCGGACTTTATATTTCTCGTTGAGATGTATAAGCATAGGCAACTCAAAGCTTTAATCATCAATCTTACACCTTTCTATTCTGAGGTGAGTTAGCAATCAGTATGGGGCGTAACTTCATCTATTGATTTTATCATGAAAGTTGACAGAGACTTGGACATAATAATAATTCCTTTTTATGTCCAAGACAGACACAACCACGAGTGTATAGGCTACAATCCCCTGCCGTCATTTTGCTTAAATGATTTTTGTAAGCACTTAATTACATATTTTCATTTTTCCGTTCGGAAATTATCCGGGTTTTATTGACCCAAACTAGTCCGATTTCGGTTGAGAAACCTTTGTTAACATTTTTCCAACCTAAGTCGTTCGTTTACTGGACTAGTAACAAATCAAGTTAGTCTTTTGGAGTACATACTTATACCATCCTGGTTTCATAGATATACAATGTACGGATCGCTGTTGAGTCTTTTATATTTGTCTCCCTGACGAATTTTACCGCTAGATGTCGCTAGCTGTGGGCTGACAAGGAAACGTTAGCAAAGTGACAAAACGCCATGTATCAAGTATTTTTAGCCCGTAAATTCTACAAAATATCAATTTAGCTAATAAGTAAGCCAGACATTCGGATTTATTTAGGCGTATGCTTTAAATTTGTAATTATTGAAGATCAAAATAATAATCAAGAAGTCTTTTGATGTGCACCACACCACAAACTTTATTTAAAATTTGCAATTTTTGCGAGATTACAAATAGTTTCAATAGTTACAAATAGCTTAATCCCACTGCCTCGTCTGTGGGTCAGAACACGGAAGTAGAAATCTGAAAATGTTATATCGGCTAATTCCGTCCGCGCATGAGGATTTCCTTATACATGGACCATTAATATAAATTAACCTTCATACGATTTTACATACAGTTGCGTTAATTAGCTGTGTGTGGGGGGGGGGAGAGAATTCCCATGGGGCAACATTTATCATTAGAAATACAAAGGGAATCCCCTTCAGTGGCAGATTTGGGGGGTCAGGAGGGGTCCTGACCCTCCCCTTTCGATTTCTGAAAAAAACCAAGGGGGCGAGGGTCGGCTTATTATCCGTGGCCTGTCTACATATAAAAATGGTTCCCGNTAAATATAAAAAATCCCCCCCCCCCCCCCCCCCGGATCTGCCTCTGTCATGCCACTTGTAAACCGCGTTCAGCAGACAAAAATGGTAAATTCTCTACGGAATAGTATGTTTTTCTCAAATTTTGCATCATCGCAATTGCTTGAATGGAAAGCACACCAGCTTTTACACATTTGAACTTTTTTTAAATGGTACCCTCTTCTATGGGGTTTGCTTAAAGTAAAACCGTACCAGTGTGTAGTGCCTTCGTTCCTATTGTGCTCTTTCACGTCATAGGTAAAGCCAAACTAAATCTCAACATAAAACAACGCTCCTTCCCGGTGTTCCGCTAGGAACCGTGGTCCGTTTCCCATTAACTTAAGGTGACACTCGTCCCATATACTAAACCCAATACTCCAACTAACCCTAACCTGTACTAATCATTTTGGGAGTGGGAGCCCGGACCTCCATTCCAAGGACTTCCATTCCTGTTACATCGGCTTCTTAAACAAGTTTTCGTGTACATCATGTACTCAGTACTTGAAAGTTGAGGATAATACTATGTTCGAGGACTAACACTGCACGAGATGAATATATTTGTGCGGCACCCGGGCTAACTATTGTAATTGTTAACAGGTAGGCCTACATCCAAACTGGCCATCTCCGTGATAAGGTAGAACGTTAGTAATTGATCTGAAGCCTATAAATAAAGCTTCTGCGGCTCTGTGGTAACTCCGCTGTCTTGGACACAGCTAGACACTTGTACGCGGGTTTTAATTGTAGAATGTTCGATGTATTTTATTGTGCTTGAAATAATTTCAAAAAAAAATTCCATTTGATTACTCCATAAGAGGAAACGCGTACGTACGGAGGGTGGGCGGTCGGTCACAGCGCAGTTGGTAGCGTGTATGGCTAAAAAATAATTTCTTGCTGATAATCCTTCCGAGAACTTAGCACCTTTTGATAAAAAGGGCAGTATAGAATGCATGACGCCATGCTAGTCCAGCTATGATTTGATCTGTGACGTAGCTGGTAAAGGAGAGATCACCTCCCCCTCCATCTTAAGTATCATTTTAGGGACTTTTAAGTGAAGAAAAAGGATATAATATATACTAATATCATCCTCTTGAAATAAGAATTTTTGCAAGCAGATTGATAGCTCTAAACCGTACCAAATGGCACCGTTTACCCTCCAAAACACCAAAAATTTTCGGGGCCCTTCAGCGGGCCCCAAACCCACCCCAAGGGGTCGAGGCCTGTCATTCCTAAAAAAAAAAAAAAAGGACCCCAAACCTCCTTCAAATAATCCTGGATCCTCCCCTGCCATTTCAATATACTGGTAGGCAAATGTCATTCGAAGCAAAGTCCAATGAATTTACATTTTGATTCATACATGTACATTTTTTGTTAATAACAAACAAAAAACCATAAACTCTCTCAAACGACACCAGAAATCAAACTAAATTAAATAGCGGAAACACTGGCGGGTTTTGTCAATTTTGCCTTCTTGTTTATTAAAAAAGAGCACTTTTCGGGCATGCGCAGTCGTGTGACACCTTTGCTAGAACCCCTATATATTTTCCTATTAATAGTTGATTTGGGTGAGATATTTTTTCTTAGAACAAGGAGACGCTGTCACACAGGTAAGTTGTTAAAATAGCAAACAAGATCATTATTTTGAAGTACATATAACTAAAGATTATAATTTTTCTCTTTTGTGAAACACTTGGGGCAAGCAAAGACCTGTTGTGTCGGGGTATCATTCATTTCAGCTGCCATTTCTGCCATTATGTAAGGAAAAGGCGGAGAAGGAAAGAGAGGGACTCCTCCAGCCATTTCCTCTAATCTGCACTGGGACATTGGCCGAGACTTATTTTAAAGTAAATTTAACTAAAAACCATAATTTCCCTCCTTTGTGAAGCACTTTGGACCAACCAAAGAGCCATTGTGCCGGGGTATCATTTAGTTCAGTTTACATACGACACTTCTGTTAAAAAAGGGATGGTTTGGAATCTGCCATTATGTCAGGGAAAGGCGGAAAGAGAGGGAGAGGGGAGAGAGATGGAGGGAAAGACAAGCTCCTCCAGCCCTCTTTCCGCAAATATGCACTGGGGCGTGGACGAGAATTGCTACTGAGTATGACAGGAATGGGAGTTCGGGATGGGATGGGAGTTCGGGGTTCCATGTGATAAAATACAGGTTAGGGTTTATTGACGAACTTGAGTTACTTGTTCGCTTTTGGGACGAACGTTACCTGTACAAAGTTTGGGAGGGGGCAGACTACGGTTTCTTCTCACTGCTAGCGGAAACGTCACACCTTCAATCCTAGGACACCGTTTTCAGGCCAAAGCTATTTGCATAGATGTGCATGTCGACTTACTGTTTCTGCAGTGGTAAAATTGATTGCATATTAATGGGAGGTGTTTTTGTCATTCTTACCCGTAGCACTGCTTACTTATTTATCACGCAGCAGAAAGACTATATAATATTCATGTAGAATAAAGGGGATTGGCTTACAGCGTAGGTTGTTATTGGCATTTGCAAGTAAAAGCAAGGCAACTGGGATCTTATTGTAATTCCCTTAATACCTATATTGGATCGCATTCGGAACAGCGGACAGCTCAAATATGGCCAACCCACTTGAATGCTTGTTGCGTAATCCCTGCGGGGAATCTATTCAGTGTCTAATTGGGAATTCAGCGCCAAGCTTTTTCATGGGTTGCCGTATTTTATCCGCGGAATTATAAGTCCAATGTTCCGAATGCGCCTTTAGCTGTACCGTAAAGGCCCTTCTCACATCGTACTGTGCACTTGTCTATATATAACGCAACATTCTGGATGGTGGTACGGAGGGAAGGTAAAATAAAATAATTTGTATTCCATATACTTTGAATTAAAACATACCAAATGAAATAATGCAAATAAAGTATTTGGGGATTCCGACCAAAACGCTGGGCCGGGTTTGCTTATTGTCGAAAGAATAAAGTCCAGTTT